CCGCCCTGCTCTGTGCATGACAGGGGGTGGCGCCCCAACTCCCCAATTGGCCCTGCTCTGAGCCCGACCAGGGGCTGCACCTAGGGATTGGGTCTGCCCTATGCCACCCGGGAGCAGGCCTAAGCCAGCAGGTCGTTACCTCCTGAGGGGTTCCAGACTGCGAGAGGGCACAGGCCAGGCTGAGGGACCCCCTTACCCCCCGAGTGCACAAATTTTTGTGCACCGGGCCTCTAGTAATTAATAAGAGAATAAGCTCTACGTTGGACATCCCGTGTCTCAGGATAACTGAGTGCTCTGTGTATAGAATTTCCATCTAGAATGAATTTGTTTCAAGGCTGGGTCAGAGGTCATGACTTCTATTGCTCATACCTCATCGGTTACCCAAGGGCTTACAACCCACCAGGGAAAGACAGCAGCTCTATGCCTGCCATGTGCTCAGCACTACACAATACTTCTATCCTCGCAAAAGTCCTGAAGAGTAGACATTGGCCTACTCTACAGAGAAAACAAAAATACATTTACAAAAATTACAGAAGAAATTGCAAATTAGCATAACCTGAGCACATTTTACATAATGAATTCTGGGTAAAGGTTGAATTGGAGTCAGAGAGAGATGGTCAGTCTTCCTGTGTGAGATTTTTTAAACTGATCTTTGAAGGAAAAGACAAACTGGAAGATAAAAGCAGAAGCTCACATCATCATCACCAGGCATTCTAGGATAAGCTGGAAATGACCTCTTCACATGCTAAAATTAGCTCAAGATTAGAAGATGGATAATCAGTGTTATAAAGTTTATGTAGTGGATTTTACTTAAAGCCCAAACATCTGGATCCTTTGCTCTGAACAGCAGTAAAGAACAAAGAACCCAGCTCCTTGAACTGCAGAACAAAGGTACAATTAAGTCCCTCAGCCAAATGAATTCTAAATAATTCTAAGACAAGAGTTTCAATAAGAACTGCATACATAATATACTGAACGGGCCTCTGCTTCCCGAGTCTCCACTCCGAGTTGCTCTCCCACTGCCACAGCAGGCTTTCTCAGCTCCATAGGTGGCACACTCCTTCCTGCACACCCTCCGGGGGCCTCCAAGAGAAAAGCCTCAGCTCTCCCACCCCATTCGGTCTGCATGTGTCCCAACAGCTCTGTTTCCCAAACACACCATGTCCTTTCACGCCTCTGACTTCTCCCCCAGATCTTCCCTGATCTTTCCAGCCCAAGATCCCTTCTCTGATACCACCAGGCATTAGGGTTGCATCCCAACATACTCTGAACGGCATTTATCACACTGCAGTGTGACCACTGGGTAACAGGGTCACATCTCTCCCCCACTAAACCAGGAACTCAAGCCCATTATCACTACCTAGTTAATGCTTAGTAAGCTGTGAACTGCAGCCTCATGTGAACTGAAGGACCAAGTCTGTGTTATATACCTTGAATTTTCATTTGCATCCAAAAATAGAGCTTACTCTACAGCTCCCCAAGTTTTGTTCTAGTTCTACTCTTGAATCCATCAATTAAAAGGCATCAAAAGCTGTACACTTTGAAAATTACATTCTAAGTATGTCCCAAGCAAAATGATCCACTTTCCTGCCTCCTTCACTGATTCCCTCCCTCCCTCCCTCCCTCACTCCTCCCTCCCTCCCTTCCACAAACATGTGAGCACCAAGCATTGTGCTAATACACAGAAGACACAGTCCCTGCTCATTAGAACTGAGGGTGGGGGGAAGAGCATAGCCAGATAAGGGATTAAAAAATTTTAACTGACAAATGCTATGGATGTGTACAGAGATGCCAAGATGACACGTAGGACAGGAAGGGAGTACCTGTTAGTCTAAACCAAAGGAGGGAGAAGGGAACAGATGGACTTACTAGCAGAGGGTACAGTATATGCAAAGTCCTGAGGTGAGGACCTTGGTATGTATACAGAAGTAAAAGAAGTCAAAGTGAGCTGGAATTTAGAGTCAGCGGGGAGAACTGTAAAAGAGTTATGAGAGAAGGAAGAAAACCAGCCTATGCAGTGCTTTGAATACCATGATTAGGACTTTAGACTAAACCCTGGAAAGGCTCCAAGGAGTAGGGGAATCATATGGCAGCTTCACCTTTATTTTTTTTTAAATATATTTTATTGATTTTTTTACAGAGAGGAAGGGAGGATAGAGAGCTAGAAACATCAATGAGAAACATCGATCAGCTGCCTCCTGCACACCCACTACTGGGAATGTGCCCACAACCAAGGTACATGCCCCTAACCAGAATTGAACCTGGGAACCTTGAGTCCACAGGCCACAATGCTCTCTCTATCCACTGAGCCAAACCAGTCAGGGCTGGCAGCTTCACCTTTAAAGGGCCATTCTGGCTGCAATGTGGAGAGTGAATTAGGAGCTGATGTGGAACCAGAATTGGATGTAGAGAGACAATTTACTACAGCACATTTCTGCCACTAGTGGGCTTTTCTTATAGTTCAGGATCAGAGGCAAATGTGAGTCCTCTGGCTATTCATGTGACCAACATGCAAGAACTCAAATGCACATAACCAAAGAATAAAAAGGGGTAAAGCTCTAGTAATAAAACATATTTATAGTTAAGATAAAGGCTACTGCTAGAAATGATAGAGGCTCATACTGGGTTCAAATGTCAAGTGATAATCCTATATAATAAAAGCCTAATATGCTAAGTGTCCGACTGTTCGCTCGACTGTTTGATCAATCGCTATGATGCACACTGACCACCAGGGGGCAGACACTCCAACCAGTAGGTTAGCTTGCTGCTGGGGTCTGGCCGATCAGGACTGGGCAAGTCGGGCCAGACACACCCTGGAGCCCTCTCGTGGTCCCTCCCCAGCCCCAATCGTGCACCAGTGAGGTCCCTTGGCCTGGTCTGCGCCCTCTCGCAATCCAGGACCACTCCGGGGATGTCAGAGAGCCAGTTTCGGCCCAATCCCCACAGGCACGGCCGAGGGACCCCACCAGTGCATGAATTTGTGCACCGGGCCTGTAGTTAAGAGATAAAATGAAAAGAACCAAGGGATTTACTAGGAGAGGGAAGGGTGGAGAAAAGGAAAAATGTGGAAGGGAGAGACTTCAGGCAGTGTGAATGGACTCCCAGATTACTGACCTGAGGAACTCAGTGGACAGGAATACCACTTACCTTGGTAATGAGAGTGAAATAAAAAGGAAAGGCAGGGATTAAGGGATGAGAACCATGAACACGTGGGCTCTCAGTGAGATTACTTACTGATTTAACAGGAGTTTGGTCAGTTCCATGTAGTAAGGGCTAGGCATAGGGGTAAAAGTTTCTTCCATTCGTTCATGATCCCTAATCTTCTCCAACTTTTCTGAAATTTAGGAATGAATACATTTTACCATCACCATAACCAAAATGTTTTTTTAAAACCGAATTTACCAACTGCCTATATTACCTATTCGATCAACTGACAAATACATTTAAAACAGTTTTTGGACCCTGCCAGTGTGGCTCAGTGGTTGAGTGCCGACCTATGAACCAGGAATTATGCTTCAATTACCAGTCAGGGCACATGCCGGGGTTGCAGATTGAATCCCCAGTGGAGGGCATGCAGGAGATGGCCAATCAATGATTCTCATCATTGATGTTTCTCTGACTTAACACATTGTAGACAGATCACGAGAATTCTTGTGTTTTCTGTTCTAAGACTTGTGGCCAATCACGATATTAAAAAGATATTAACTTGTAAGAACATGTAATAGGCCGAAACCGGTTTGGCTCAGTGGATAGAGCGTCGGCCTGCGGACTGAAAGGTCCCAGGTTCGATTCCGGTCAAGGGCATGTACCTGGGTTGCGGACACATCCCCAGAAGGGGATGTGCAGGAGGCAGCTGATTGATGTTTCTCTCTCATCGATGTTTCTAACTATCTCTCTCTCCCTTCCTCTCTGTAAAAATCAATAAAATATGTTAAAAAAAAAAGAACATGTAATAGTAACTTCAGAATGCAATGGGTACTTAATTGTAAAGCGCGCCTTGCACATTTATGTAAAACGTGTTTCGTACTCGTTCAATAGAAACTTATCTGGTCACTGGGTAAAGCCAGCAATAAAACTACGGGGCCGCAATGTGTTCTGATAGCCCGAGAAAACCTCCAGTCCTAAATCTGAACTGCCCACTGTGCCTAAGGGATACACACAGACACGACTCTGCTGTGGAGTCTCACTTTAAAGGACTGACCACCCATCTCCAAGGGGCCCTTGGTATTATCTTGCAATCCTATGAAACTTCCCTGATCCATTCACACTCTCACCTTTGATCATGCCCACCCTCTTCATGCCTTCTCTCATCTCACTGCCCCAGCTCTCAGCCACTGCCTTGCTGAGTGCCCGCATGCTCCTGTCACCACATCTTCCTAACTTCCCTGTGTCTGTCCCCATACACAAGGGCCAGCCTTCCAGGTATGCACTGGACCCTCCTTTCACCTGCACAGATCACCACTCCAGCATCGGTCTCTCACCATGTTTCTCCTCACTATGTGACATTCCATCAAACATGCTGCAACATCTCCCATCTTAAAATAGAAAACCTGCCCTAACTGGTTTGGCTCAGTGGATAGAGCGTCGGCCTGCGGACTGAGGGGTCCCGGGTTAGATTCTTGTCAGGGGCATGTCCCTCCGATGCGGGCACATCCCTAGTGGGGGGTGTGCAGGAGGCAGCTGATCGATGTTTCAGCCTTATCTTAGAAAGTCTGATTTTGCCAGGGTTGTGGATTAGATCCCTAGTAGGCGCCACACAGGAGGCAGCTGATCAGTGTTTCTTTCTCTCCCTCTCCCTTCCTCTTTGAAATCAATAAAAACATGTGTGTTTTTTAAAAAAAGAAAAAACCCTCCCCTGACACCAAATCTTTCCCCAGCTACCAATCCATCTATCATGCCCTTTACACAAAACTTTGAGTTGTCTGACATTGGCATTAACTTCCCCTCCTCAACCACTCAGATGTGTGTCCATCCTACCCCTCCACCAGCATAGTCCACCAAGGCCCACAGCCTCCACTGGGCCAAACCCAAGGGCTATGTCTCAGCCTCCACATCTGACGAGGATCAATCCTCTCCCTTGGAGTGTATTAACTTAGCTTCTCGAACACCAGAGTTCTCATCTCATCAATTCTTTCTGGCCTCCCTGACCTCTCAACACTGGTGCAGGGCTCACCTAAACCCACGTCCCATATGATCTCTTCCTGCCTCATTTAAATACCATCTATGTGCTCATAATGACAAATTCACATCCCCAGATCAGTCCCTCCTCTGAATTCCTGACTCAAATACCCCACTGCCCATATTATTTCCACGTGGACTTCTATCAGGCACCTCCAGTGTAAGATGTTCAAACTCCACTCCTAGGGTTCACTTTAGCCCACACACTGCTCCTGCAGTCTTCCCCATCTAAGAAAACAACTCCATTTCCTTCCAGAGCTCAAGCCAACAACCCTGGTGCTAATCCTTAATTAACTCTTCTCTCTCATACCCCTCGGCCAGTCCTTCAGCAACCCTGCTGATTCTTCCTTCAAACTATGCCTAAACTCCAACCACCCTGCCCACCTCAATCAGCTGCTCCAGCCACTCCCAGCTCTAGCCTGGGTAACTCTCTACTGCTCTCTCCCCACACACTTATTCTTTGCACAGAATATTCACTCTTTTCTTTTTTAAAATCTAAACCAGAGTATGAAACACCTCTGTTCAAACCCTGCAATTCCAATGTTGGCCAGGGTATGGAGCACTGGAAACTCTTGGACAATCCTGGTGGGGTTATAATAATGGCTCAACCCCTGTGGAGCACCGGCCGTTTCTTACCAAGCTAAGCACAGTCTGTCCACGACCCTGCAATTCCACCCCTCGAGGTATTTACCTACCCAAGAGAAATAAAAACATATCCACAAAAAGACTTGGACAAGATCAGTCATAGCAGCCATATTCACAATGGCCAAAAACGGGAAGTAACCCAACTATCCACCAACATCAGAATGGGTGAACATACTGTGGCATACGCACACAACGGAACACCACTCAGCAATAAAAGAGTGTAATGGCACTTGCAACAGCGGTGAATCTCAAAAACATTATACCGATAAGAAGTCAGAGACCAAAACTGACACAGTACTAGATGATACCATTTACACGAAGTCCAAGAACAGGTGGAACCACCTGGTGGGAGAATCAGAGAGCAGTTGGCTCCTGGGCAGTGTCGACTACGACGTTTCACTCCTCTCACCACATCCGGCCCAGGACTAGGAAGCAGCTCAGGCTGGGCCTAAATGAGAAGCTTTCAGGGGATGCAGCCCTAAGAGCCAGGCCTGCTGGGACTAAAAAAGCCCTTCAAAGCAGAAGGAACTGGGGCTTCCCACGATGTTTCAGGACTTCCAGGGCCACTCACCCCGTAGGACCGGGAGTGAGGCAGAAATGCCCAGTCTTTCTTAACTGCATGTGAGAGTCTGACTGAACGTGTCCTTGCTTCTAGGAGGCAGGTATCCCCAAGTGATTCCCAAGGGGAGGGGGCGATCAGAATCAGGCATGGCTTTTCAAATTCTACAGGCATGCCTATGACCACCACCACCACCCCAATAAAATTACGATTATTTGCGATAATGAGCCACTCACATCTCCGAGATGGGAAAAAAGACCGAAAAGGATAAAGTCAGGGTCAAGTCGGCCTGCATCTTCAATGCATTATTTTCTTTTCCCTAACAACTTTATTGAGGCATAATTAACGCACTACACAATTTACCCACTTAAAGTATACAATTCAATGGTTTTTAGTATATTCACAGTTGGGCAACATTTTCATTGCCCCAAAAAGGACCCCCCCCCCCCACAATCCCTCCATCTCCTCCATATCCCTATCCCTAGGTAAGTACTAATTTATTTTGTCTCTGTGGATTTGCCTGTTCTGGATAGTTCATATAAATGGAATGTTACAAATAGGGTCTGCGTGTTCTTTTCAGAGAGCATAAGATTTTCAAGGTCCATCCACATTCCTTTATATGGCTGAATAATATGCCCTTGTAGGGATTATTTTCATGCATTTTCTATAATGTAAGATTAACAACTTTGCTCAACATGTCAGTCTATATCTATAATAATAAAAGTCTAATATGCTAATTAGACGGGACATCCTTCCGGACGTCCTTCCAGACGACCTTCCTAACGAAGCCGGTGCCAGTAGCCCGGGGAAAGAAGGCCTACTCTTGCACGAATTTCGTGCGTTGGGCCTCTACTACGTATATATTTAAATTAAACTGTTTATTTTAAGGCCTTATAATACTTTTAAATTTTAAACCAAGGTGAAATAGCTTTAAACACAAAATCTGAACTAAAAGCGGTATACACATCCCAAACTGACAGAACCCTGGTAACAGCGGTCAGCTGACTCTAAGGCGTGAACCTGGAGCCATTGGTTTCAGCTGGTCAGTGGGTCATGGCGTCATTGCGGAACCCGGGCACCCGCGTCCTTACCCACATCCATCCACTCCGGGGGAAGCAGCCGGCACTTCTGTCTTTGCTTCAGGTTAATCGCCAGCCACAGAGGCACTTGCACCGGCAGGCCAGGGTTAAAGGGCCCCAGGTCGCCCTGCCGGAGGAAGCAAACCCCGGTAAGGCGAGGCAGAGCTCAGGCATTCCCGGACCTCCAGACACAAACGCACGCCCGGTGGTCACGCGGCGCGGGAGGCAGCCCACGTCCGCCCTCGCGCGGTGGGGCTGCCGCACCTGGCGGCCCACCTGAGCCCAGTTCCCGAGACGCCGCGGAGAGGCCGCCCAGGAACACCTGGGAGGCGCGGGCGACCTCCAGGGGCTCCCCCGCCCACGTCTCCCGGCTCCGAACCTCGCCCCATCCCCGTCCACGCAGGGCCCACGGGCTGGACGCGCCGAGTCCGCCGCCTGGCTTCCCACCCGAGACGTGGGAGCAGAGCAGGGCGAGTCGCCGTCCGCAGACGCCAGTTCCTGAGGCAAATGCCCGGCGCACCCTTACCCCGATGAGGTAGATCTTGTCCAGACTGAAGTTCGGGATAATGGTCACCAGCTCCTTCTCCGCCAGAAACTCCACCTCGGCCGCGTCCATAGCGGAGCAAGCCGCCACCCCTCAGCGTCCCTTAAGTGCCGGGGCGCCGCTTTCCCGCCACCGCGCGGAGCCCGCCCCCCGGCCGGAAGAAGGCGTATCTGCCCAATAGCAACTCGGCGCTCTCCGCGAGCGCGGGAGGCGGAGAGAGCGGCTGCTACGAGCCCGCGGATTGGCGATCTTGAACGAGGGTAAGCGCTCATCCCGCCCCTCTCGTGTCCCGGCTCCGGCCCCGCCCCCTCGCTCACAGGCATGGCCACGCCCACTCCCGTGGGGCGGCCACGCCCTCTCCCGGGTCACCGACCCTACTCGCGCCTGGTGCGTGCCGGCCTGCCTTTCAGCGCCTAGCTAGCTAGCAGCACCACGCTCCTGTGTTCCTTCACCCGCCCTGGGCGCCTACCCGCCTTACTCCTGGGTCACAGCATCACCTGAAACAGCCCGACCCCATGAGAGTGAGGGAAGGCGTTTCCTTTCATTTCACAATCTTCTGACCTCTGCATACACATTGGTTAAAAATCTTTAAAAATGTAGATTCCCCCCCACCCCAATCTTCCAAATGAGAAACTGCGGGGGAAGGGCTCCGAATTTGCACGTTGGCAAGCAACCCAGGTGAAACTTATGAAGGGGCAAGTTTGCAGGCTGCAGCAAGTCTGTATTGATGTGCTCATCTGTTTGTTGAACAGGTGCCCTCTCTACAGTGGGCTTGTGTGAAACTTAATAGCACTGGTCCTCAATCTCCCCGTGTGTCAGAATCCCCTAGCGGCCTAGACCAGTGGTTCTCAACCTTCCTAATGCCGCAACCCCCAATACAGTTCTTCATGTTGTGGTGACCCCCAATTTCATTGTTATAAATTGAACATAATTAAAGCATAGTGATTAATCACAAAAACAATATGTAATTATATATGTGTTTTCTGATGGTCTTAGGCGACCCCTGTGAAAGGGTCATTCGACCCCCAAAGGGGTCGCGACCCACAGGTTGAGAACCGCTGCCCTAGAAGCTTCTGAGTTACTATGCACACTCCTGGAGAATTGTGTTTCAGAGGTTGGATGGGACCAGAAAGTTGAATTTTAACCAGAGCCAAGGGAATTCTAATGGGATTCTAATAGGCCAGGAAAGCTTCCAGGGAGGTAAGGGAGCCAGTGCAGGACTGGGGGACAGGCAGTGGGCTGGATTTGAATTTGAAATCCTGCTCGTCCGGCCCTGAGAAGAAGCAGAGGGACAGGAGTATTCCAGGGTTCTGTACCCTGGCAGGAAAGCGGCCCCACTCCAGAGAACCCCATGCTTTACTCTCTAAGCCCCCTGCAACTGCCCCGTTTAGGGCTGCTGGGACGATGAAATAAGACTATATTAAGTTCTGCCCACTCACATGGCATGGAACACCATGTCTGTTGTTTCTCTGCAAAGGAAATTGCCATTTGCAGACTTGGAGATTACTGTCATTGTGTGTCATGTATTCAAACAAACTTTCAAAGAAAATAAATGAAAGAGCCTCTGGATGCTGTGTGACCCAGGCAAGTGACCATTCTGACCTCAGTTTCCTCATCTGCAAAAGAGGTAGGAAGAGAAGGAGCCCGGAGTGTTTAGGGAGGGGGAGAAGCTTTGGGCCACCTGGCCCCTCCTGAAATAGAAGCTCCTTCAGACATCTGCAGAGAGCGTGTGCCAACTTGTCTGGGTTTTGATTGATGGGAGAACGTTTTCTTCACTGGCAAATATTTGTGTTCCAAAGCTGGCGCGGCTTCCCTGCAGGCTTTTGCAGCCTGTAAAAGAGCAAAGGAAAAGAGCTGGTGGGAAAGCCGGGGTTCAGAGAAGCCACAGCAGGGTGAGCAGGAGAGCAAGCAGAGCCCAGTGTCCACATCACCTGAGTCCTGGTGTCCTTGTCTGTAATGTGATGGCAGTGCTGCTGCTGACCCCGCTGGGATGCTGGGGGAACAGGAGACAGAGTGCAGCGTTACACACTGCAAAACGGTGTCTTAGAGTCTCAAACTTGAGTGTACATCAGGGTCCCTTGGAAGACTTGTTAAATGACTTTCCTTTCATAGCAGCATGATTTGCAACAGCCCAAAGGTGGAAATGACCCAAATGTCCATCAGCTGAGGGATGGATAAACAAAACATGGTCTATACGTGCTGTGGAATGTTATTTAGCCATAAACGGGAACGAATGCACTGATGCCTGCTACAACGTGGGTGAGCCCTGAAAACATTATGCCAAGTGAGAGAGGCCAATCACCAAAACCACGTATGATTCCACGTATATGAACTGTCTAGAACAGGCAAATCTGCAGAGACAGAAAGGAAATGAGTGGTTGCCAGGGCCGGGGGAGAGGGAAATGGGAGTGACTGTGAATGGGGATGGGGTTTCTTTTTGGGGTGGTGGAAATGTTCTGGAATCAGATAGTGGTGGTGGTTGCACGCTCTATAAATATACCAAAAACCACGGAAGTGTACACTTTAAAAGGGTGGATTATTCCTCAACAAAGCTGTATTTACAATGCCCTTCCCTGAGTTCCAGGCTCAGACTTTCTAACTCAGAAACCACACACTTAACATGCTCCCCAGGAGGTGTTTATAGTGGGGAAACCTGGGAGGGTAGCAGCTGCTCCAATCCAGCCCAACGCTGAGCCATTCCCAGGATCCAGTCTCCTGCCTGGCTCTTAAAGTGTGTGTGAGGGGGTGGGGGTGGGGGGAGTAGTACTGAGATGCAAACAGACAAGAGGAAAACAAGGGAGGGGAGAATGATGGAAGTGGGGTTGCTACTTGAGGGGGGGGCAGGCCCTTATACCATTATTTCCTGCTGTAAGAACTGCCTCCCCTGCAGGGCTAGAATGCCCCATGTGGTAATGAATTAAGAGTTGGAGATAAAATTAATGGGGTGAAGGAACAAATCCTTCATGCCAAAAAATTCCAGATGATGTATATAGATGCCCAGCCTTCAAGAAGGTGGAGCATTGCCAGTCGGTGTGGCTCAGTTGACCTACAAACCAGGAGGTCACAATTCAATTCCTGGTCAGGGCACATGCCCGGGTTGTGGGCTGGTCGCCAGTGGGGAGCGTGTGGGAGGCAGCCTATCAATGATTCTTTCTTATCATTGATGTTTCTATTTCGCTCTCTCTCTCCCTCTCTCTTCCTCTCTGAAATCAATAAAAATATATTTGGGGGGGGGAACATGGAGCATAACACCCCACTCCTAAAGTGTGGGCTGCCCAGAGCAACTTCCTTCCAAGGAGAACAAGATGGAAACAGGGGAAAACAGAGTAACTTGACAGTGAAGAAACCTAATCAACATGACCTTAGCCAGGTCATCAAGGTCAACAGCAGTGATAAGCCAAGGTCACAGCATACACCCTTAATATCATGGATGAAGAGGGCACTTTACCTCCCAAACCTACAACCGCAGTCTCATCCTGAGAAAAACATCAGACAAATCCCAATTGAAGGATTTTCTACAAAACACCTGACCAGCACTTCTCAAAAGTGTCAAGGTCACCCTGGCCGGGTAGCTCAGTTGGTTGGAGCATCATCCTGATACCCCAAGGTTGTGGGTTTGATTCCAGGTCAGGGCACATACAAGAATCAACCAAAGGATGCATAAATATGTGGAAAAACAAATCGATGGTTGTTTTTTTTTTCTCTCTTTCTCTCAAAAAAACAAAAACCTGTCAAGGTCATCCAAAACAAGGAGAGTCAAAACCTGTCACAGCCCAGAGGAGCCTAAGAATTCATGACGACCCAGTGTCATGTGGGATCCTGGATGAGATCCCAGAGAAAAAAAAAAAAAAAAAGACATTAGGGGAAAACTGAGGAAATGGGAAGCAAGTATGAACTTTAATTAATAATAATGTATAAAAATTGGTTCCCTAATTGTGACAAATGTACCAGAGCAGCATACAATTAACACTGGGTGGGCAGTCTACGGGAACCTGCTGTACTATCTTGGCAACTTTTTTGTAACTCTAAAGCTTTCCTTACCAAGAATAAGTTTATTTTCAAAACTTAGAGCTCCCCTGGAAACCTAATCCGCCCCCCAAAATGTGAACCTATTGCCCTCTTCAGGGTAGTTGGCTGCATAACTACTTTTGGTCACACAGAACAGTGCTCCAAAGTGAGCCAGCAACGCGGACTGCTGATGTGCAGGCAGTGGGTCTTCCTGCAATGATGAAATACTCAGTTTCTTTCCAGCCGGTAGACTTGGCCGCACGTGGAAATGGAGCATTTGCAATAGGACTGATGGGCGACCGGGGTACTCTGAAGGGTCATTTCCTCCTGCGTTTGACGTTGGGCCAGCAGCCCGCCGATGCATCCCCACAGAAAACGATGAATGACAGAATTGAGGAGGTGGGTGAGAAGCTCCACAGACTCTCAGCCCTGCCTGTGCAAGAGACTCATCTACCCGATGCTGGACCCGAGGAGTCAGAACCCCTGAAGTGGGGCTCAGGCCTGGGCGGAGAGCCACTGCTCTGATAAACTGAGTCCAGCCTCTCTCCTGTGGTGGTGGTGGAGGGAGGGGGTGACCTCAGGGAAAGCACTGACTTGCAGCTAGTGGTGTCACCCATCTAAGAAGCTGCTTGAATTACAGTGTGGGCAGCCGGAGGAGAGAAATGCAGAATGCAAAACACCTCCTGGGTAACCTCCTTGCCTGGCCTCAGCTGGAATATGCCAGCGGTGTGGTTCAGAGCAGGGCTCTGCTAACAGGATGTGAATGCCTCCCTCACTACCCCCCTCCCCGTCCCAGGGCTCCCAGGGGCCAGGAGCCACAGCTCCTGCTGCCTGAGTCTAGTCTCTAATGTGGAGGTGATAACGTGGCCCCTGGCAGGACTGACCTTGGTGGCTCCATGGGTTTGGGCTGTACCTATTCTGAATGTCATCATCCCCTAGAGCCCATTAGGTTCTCAGCTGTGCCAACATGGCAGGTGGTGGCTCCTACTCTCAGCAGGAGCTGTTTCTTCTTTTTAATTTTTCTTCATTGATGAGAGAGAGAGGGAGGGAGAGAGAGACATCAATTTGTTGTTCCACTTAGTTATGCATTCATTGGTTGATTCTTGTATGTGCCCTGACCGGGGATCGAACCCACAAGATTGGCATATGGGGAGGACACACTAACCAACTGAGCTACCCGGCCAGGGCAGGAGAGGTTTCTTTTGCTCATGGCTGCCCCAGGAGGCATTACCATCCCCATTGAGTGTGGTGAGAGGTGAAGCAAGAAAGACATGCAGTGGCCAGCTCTCTAGGGCCTGCTTTGTAAACCTTTCTCTCTTCTCTCTCTCTCTCTCTCTCATTTAAAGTTCTTTAATAGTCTCCACTTAATTGGCTTATTTGCTGTTAATAAATTGGCAACACAAGGAGGGGCCAAGAGTGTGCTCGAAGGCAGGCTCCTGTGTGTCTGGGAGGACGCCACTTTTGGGTTGCTGGTGGAGGAGTGACATGAATAGCTCTGCACTCAGAAATACAACAGTCCAGCAGCAGGAGACTCACCTTAGATGGGAGGTTGTGAGAAGTCCAGGCGAGCAGTGGGGATGACCTGAGCTAGGACAGCGGCATGGGGACCATCAGGAGGGGTTGTCTGAAACCAGAGACCGGGACTGCCTTCCTGTGTCTAGGAAAGCCAGGTTCGGGATGCTGCTGGGCCCCACCCAGGTGGCCACAGGTATCTCCCCACCTATCTGTGGCCCCACACAGCCTGGCAGCACACCCGCCCCTCCCTGGAGGGCCTGCCGGCTCCTCGCTGCAGCTCACTGGCCTCCGGGGTTTGGCGGGGGAGCCATCATGCCAGCCGCATGGTGCACATCACGGCTGAGCTGGGTGCTCTCAAGTGGCTCCAACATGGTGCGAACACACTCTTGTGTCTTTTTGCCATCTGCTGCTGTCATTAAAAAATTACATTTCCATCTGTTTTCACACTTTTTTCCCCTCCCAGCCTTCCCGCCTGCAAGCATATAGCGTGGCTCCCACGTCTCAGATCGGACATTGCTGGCCTCCTGGAAACTGGGAGCATCTCTGGGACACGCCAGGGTGAGGGGTGACGGGCTTTGTCCGCGGCCAGAGCTGGGAACGTCCATCCGTCCATCCGTTTCCTCTTTAGTTGCCATTTACTGCAGCCCCTGCTCCACTACTCCCCCCCTCCCCCCCCACTTTTGGGGGAAACCATTTACAAAACGTTTTATTGTTGGATTTAATCAGTATGTGCAGCTTTGGCATTAAAAATAAATGAAAAATAAGCTGCAGACATTCGTAACCATCCCCCCAGGATGTATTAAAATGGAGGAACTGACTCAGGAAATGAGAATCAAAGAGCCATGTTTTGAGGTCAAGATAAGTCGTCTTTCTAGACCAGCCCCACAGAGGCCCCCCACCCCCACCCAGACGGCACCCTGACCTTTAATGAAGGGTCAAGTTCGCGTAGAACACGACCCCCCAGGTGGGTGGCTCTGGTGGGCCTGGTGGATCTTCTCAAGCACAGCCTCGTGAACACCAGCGTTACTGCCAACATCCCAGAGGCCCCTGTGAGACAGCCAGGCCCTGTCCTGTCAGCCTCAGGCTGGCCCCCCGCCTGGTGTTCTTCCTGTTGCCATGGGCACTAAAAGCCTGGATGAAGCGGTGATTAGCCACGGCAGGTTGCTGAGGGGGCTGGCGGCCTCTGAGCAGTGCCCAGGGAGATGTGGACAGAGCCAGGCATCAGAGTGAGCACCCAGCCCCAGCCCTGAGGCCGGCATCCCCCCGGGTTCCAGAGGGAAGAGGACGGGGGCACAGATCATGAGCAGAAGCTGTGAGCGCGCTTGCCTGGCCCAGCGCCTGCTCCAAGGGAACGTGCTCTGGTGGCCACTGGCCACAAAGTGAGGAGACACATGAAGCAGATTTGAACCCAACTAGAGCCTGACAAAGCCCAACGCCCGGCAGCCACTCAGCAGGGCCCTGGCCCGGCCAGAGACCGGCGAGTGAGAGGTCACTGCTGGTTGTTCCGAGCCACTGAGTGTGGAGGGTGGGCTGCCTTAGTCCCTTGGGCGGCCATAACAGAATACCACAGACTGGGCGGCTCACAAACAACAGAAACTGTTTCCAGTTCCGGAGGCTGGAAGTCCAATATCCAGGCACCAGCAGATGTGGTGTCTGGTGTCATGGCCGCTTCCTGGTTCAGAGTTGGCCATGTCTCCACGTGTTTGTGGGGGACACACACGCTCAGTCTATAGCAGGGGTGGGCTGCTTAGGCCACAGCGAAAAGAAAACGAATACACGATGTCACAGGTTCATGAGTTAAATACACACAAAGTGCTTGGAACAGGCCTGCACACAGCAAGCAGTAGGAGGGCTGAACAAATAAAAATCGTGAGCACCTCTGCAGTGTGAGAGCTGGGAACTGGTGTGTGGGGCCGCGTCCCGGACGCGGGAGCTTTATTTTCTAAGGGTTGTGTGTGAGGGTGCCCAGGGCTTGAGTGTGGGTGTCTCAGCCCTACGCCCTGAGCCCCAGCTGACGGGCTCCCCTCCCTTCCTCTGATGACTTGCACATCAGTGATTATGAAACAACTAGTGGCCCCGTGCACGGATTCGTGCACATTGAAAGGAAAATAATTAGAAGAAATATTTTAATATTGCTATTTGCCCCTTCTCCCTCAGCGCCTGGGAGTCAGGCGGCGGCCCCGTCCCCACTGACACTGGTTGTGTCTGCTGGCAATTGGACTGCTCGCACCACCTTGGCCTGGCACCACCTGCTCATGTGCTCCACCATCCTGCTATGACCGGCTCTCCTCTGGCCCATCAGGCAGCAGCGCCTCCTGCTGCCAGTGCCACGTCACCAATGCCCACCCTGTTCCGTGCTGCCCCCTGGTGGTCAGCGCACATCATAGTGAGCAGTCGAATTCCCGATCACACCCAGGGGACAATTTGCATATGAGGCTTTTATTATATAGGATGGAAGGGAGTCCTGCCCCAGGAGAGGAGAGGGTGCTGTGGGAACCAGAGGACAGAAGACTTTAATGACAGGGCCCAGTGGGAGCAGCATCAGGTGGCAATGGACCCAGCCTTGCCAAGAGACTGGGCTGGGAAAAGGCAGCAAAGGCATTCCAGAGACAGAAACTGCATGAATGGGTGGCGGACTGTGGTTCCAGCGATGGCCACATCTCCCAACCCACATGCTCTTCTTACCACGTGCCTGTGGCATCGCTCCCGTCAAGAGCTGTGTGTGCCTCTGTGGGAAGCAGGACCCCTGGATCATTCAGGGACCCAGTGCAAAATGAACATTCGGGCCCTTGTTCAACAAGGATTAAGAATTTCTAGGCAGCAATGGCAGAGAGAGGGTCCTTCTGAGAGTGGGCCCTGTTGGATCATGCCCATCGCAGGCCCATGGAGCAGGTCCTGACTGTGGGGAATATATTTTAAAAAAGAAAGAAAAAGAACTTCTAGGCAGCAACGGCAGAGAACGGATCCTTCTGAGAGTGGGCCCTGTTGGAGCGTGCCCATCGCAGGCCCATGGAGCAGGCCCTGACTGTGGGTCCCATCATACAATCCAGGCACTCAGCAGGCCAGTGTGTGAGGAGGGTGACTGGCTCCAGCTCCTTCCCTTCTCGGCCTCAGTTCTTTGCAGTGAAGAATGAACGGTGCCCAGAGAGCTGACCTCTGCCCGTGGTTCTAGAGAGGTGACCTCTAGAGTTTGGACTGCCCTGTCTGATAGGAGTG